TTTTGGCATTATCAACCGATAACCTTCCCCCTTAATCAATGCCGGGATATTGAAGGAAAGTAAAAAAAGTGGCAAGAGTTTTCTTTAAAAGAGAACTCTTAGTAAAAATGCCACAAAGGGACAATATGTTCTAAACAAGAACAATATTGCCAACCCAACAACGATATCAATACACAGTCATAATTAATATTAACTAGCATCATTGAAAGGAACATCATCATCCACCAAAAGAGTCATAAAACAATAACATTAGCAAATAACAATGTATCATAATAAGTCAAGATAGAGGGAATATAACCAAAGTCAGTTCGCCAGACGAGCTCCTCCGCTGAAGCTGTGACGCGGGCCACGGTAGGAGCGGGATTGCTCAAAACGAGTCATCCTCTCGTTGAGCTGGCGAACGTCATCTCGGATGCACGTGAGAGTATCGAAGATCCTCTTCACCCAAGAAGGTTCCGGTGCTTCTTCTCTTGGACGAGTTCTGCGTTGACGAGTGACGCTCACCGTGGCTCGACTTCCTCCGGCTCGAGATGACTTAGCTTGAGTCTCGTTTTGGCTCTCTTATTCTTCTGCGACTATCAGGTCCAGATTTGGTGCGGCATCGCCCTCCTCTCGGTACACGATCCGGGAAAACTTGGCTTCAGTGATGAAACAAGTCTTCTTGACCGGCACCTGAGTGTCCCGAGTAAAGTCTATTTTGCAATGAGCAAGGATATGCATAATGGGGATGGCAAAACGGAGATGGAAAAAATGAGTGCCATCGCTAAGTGCAACAATAAAGAAGTGAACCCAATCAAATTTGACATCGTTCAACAGGACGTGAAACAAACGAATATCGTCCTTGTTGACAACGCCATGGTTCGAATCACGGGGCAACAAGACATAGGAGAAGATGTATTGTTGGACGCGTTGAATTAAAGTGAGATTAATGACACTCGGGTTGCTAGAATTTCTAAACTTGAGGTCACGATGATCTAATCCGAGTTGTCACCAAATTGCCTCATCTTGGAATGTTTCATCCAAGTTTTCGGTAATTTCACCTCGACGAAGGCCAAACAGAGAAGTCAAACTGGCATCGTCAATGAAAACGGTTTTGCCGTCAACATAGGAAATGAGAGATGACGAATCTCCCTTAGTGGTACGAAGATTAGCATAAAATTGACGTATAAGATTAGGACAAAAGAATTCATACGTCAAATGGATGAAAAGAAGCAAACCTTGCTGAGAGAAAAGAGACTTACTCGGGGCATAGGTCGCCGATTTGAAGAGGTCCTTGTTCACGATCTTAGGAGAGACGATCTCCTTTGTGAGGAAGATGTTGTGGAACCTCTCGGATGAAGCCCCAGTGTTGAAAGTGAGTCCGGTTTGTATGTGGATGTATTTGCTCCCTTCACGACGCCATGGCCTCTCACCCTCTTCTGCCGCCGATTCTTGACGTGATGAAGCGTTCTTGCACCTTGGCATCCTTCCTCTTTGAAATTGATGAAATTTGGTGAGAAATTGGAAGAAATTTGAGAAGTTTCTGATGAAGGTTGAGAAAATCGGAGAAGGGAAAGAGCTAGGGTTTCTGATTCGTAAAAAGAGAATGGCGAAAAAGATGAAGACTGGCTATGATATAAGGGCAAAAAACGAATATTAATCGATTAAAAACAAGTGTTTAATCGATTGAGGAACACAGCCGAGGCAAGTTGATTAAAGTAAACTTATTAATCGATTAGAAGTGGAGCAGACCCAAAGGTTTGCGTTTCAAGCTATTAATCGATTAAACAAAGATGGTTAATCAATTAAGATGGATAGATGAGTCTAATCGATTAATTGAACAAAATTAATCGATTAAAAGTGAAGTAGAGCAAAAAAAAGGTTTCGGATTTTAATCGATTAACAAAAGTCCAGTAATCGATTAAGAGGGACAGAGGCGACTAATCGATTTCTCTTCGAGGAGTAATCGATTAAAACTTGTTTGACAGAAAAAATAATCAAGTCTAATTCGGTTGAATACCAAGGGAAGAGATACCTGCAATAAACGCCCTGCAAAAAAGAATTTATCACGCCTCCGATGCTCAAATTAGTATAGTCAATAAAAAGAATGGATTAGTTCATAGAGATATCCAAAATTCCAAGTTCGTTCCGAATGTGGAAGAAACTCTCCCTACTAAGGGGTTTCGTGAAAATGTCTGCCAATTGATGTTTCGTTTCAACAAACTCAATTGTGATATCTCCCTTTTGGACGTGATCTCGTATGAAGTGATGCCTAATTTCTATGTGTTTAGTCCTCGAGTGAAGAACGGGGTTCTTCGTTAGACTAATAACGCTCATATTGTCACACCTAATAGGGATGTGATCAAGTATAAGGCCGAAATCCACTAGTTGTTGTTTTAACCAAAGAATTTGGGCACAACAACTTCCCGCAGCGACATATTCCGCTTCGGTGGTGGAAAGTGCAACACTAACCTGCTTCTTACTAAACCACGAGATTAACGAATGACCGAATAAGTGGCAAGTACCGCTGGTACTATCGAGTTTGCAACCTGCAAAATCCGAGTTAGAATAGCCAACAAGATGACATGTTGAACCTTTGGGATACAAAAGACCTACGTTCAACGTGACCGCGAGATATCGCATTATCCTTTTGATCGCAACCAAATGCGACTCTTTAGGACATGATTGATACCTAGCGCATATACAAACGGAGTACATGATATCCGGTCTACTCGCGGTAAGATAAAGTAAAGAGCCGATCATACCTCGGTAGCGCTTGATGTCTACCTCTTTACCTTTTTCGTCCTTGTCGAGATAGCAAGAGGTGCTCATTGGTGTGTCAATGGATTTGGATTCGGTAACATCGAATCTTTTAAGCAATTCTCTACAATATTTCGTTTGACACACGAATGTTCCTTCTTTGCATTGTCTAATTTGCTGCCCAAGGAAGAACTTTAATTCTCCCATCATCGACATTTCAAATTCACTTTGCATCATATCGGAAAAATCCTTGCACAAAACCTCGTTAGTAGCACCGAATATGATATCATCTACGTAAACTTGAACCAAAAGGATGTCTTGGTTATCTTTCTTGATAAAAAGAGTAGTGTCGACTTGACCCCGTTTGAACTCATGGTCCAAAAGAAATTTGCTTAACCGTTCATACCAAGCATGAGGTGCTTGTTTGAGACCGTAAAGCGCCTTTTTGAGTTTGAAGACATGTTCGGGAAACTCATAGTCTTCGAAACCCGAGAGTTGTTCGACATACACTTCCTCTTGAATGATACCATTAAGGAAGGCACTTTTAACGTCCATTTGATAAAGTTTAAAATCCATTGTAGATGCAAATGCAAGCAATAAACGAATAGCTTCTAAACGTGAAACCGGTGCATAAGTTTCTTCATAATCAATGCCTTCTTCTTGATTGTAGCCTTTAGCTACAAGCCTAGCTTTGTTTCTAGTGATTATTCCATTTTCATCGAGTTTGTTACGAAACACCCATTTTGTGCCAATAACGGAATGATCATTAGGTCTAGGCACAAATTCCCAAACATCATTGTGTTTAAATTGGTTAAGCTCCTCTTGCATTGCCATAAACCAATGTTGATCATTAATAGCATCCAAAACGGTTGTTGGTTCAATTTGTGAAACAAAGGCCATGTGATTAATTGTGTTCCTAAGAGAATTACAAGTAGAAACTCCCTGCGTTATGTCACCAATGACATTGTCAATCGGGTGGTTCTTCAATGTTCTCCATTTCTTAGGAAGCTCCGTTTGTTCTTGCATTTTCTCTTCTTCCGGTCCTTTTTTTCTTTAACGATTTCTTCATCATCATCATAAGAACCTGCAAAATTATCAACAATACCTTTTCTCGCCAAGCGAGCATCAAATTCATCAAAGACAACACGAATAGACTCCTCTACGGTCTTAGTACGCTTATTGAACACTCTATATGCCTTACTACGAAGAGAATAACCTAAGAAAATTCCTTCATCCGACTTAGCATCAAATTTTCCCAAGTTATCTTTTCCATTATTATGAATGAAAACTTTACATCCAAAGACATGAAAATAGGAAAGGTTAGGCTTTCTTCCTTTGTAAAGTTCATAGGGCGTTTTCTTGAGTATCGGTCTAATGACGGCTCGGTTTAACACGTAGCACGCGGTACTCACGGCATCCGCCCAAAAATATTTAGGAAGGTTAGCCTCATTGAGCATAGTTCTAGCCATCTCTTCAAGAGACCTATTTTTCCGTTCAACCACGCCATTTTGTTGTGGTGTACGGGGGGCCGAGAAGTTATGCTCAATGCCTAATTCGTCACATAAGGCGTCAAAGCCATCTTGATCGAAATCTCCCCCATGATCACTTCTAATGGATGCAATGTGAGAGTCTTTTT